ACACAAGAATTATTGTAAAATGAGTCAGTGTTGCAATAATAAAAAAAATTACACACACAAGAAAATGCAGTTTACAAGAAAAAAAATATGTCAAGGAATGAACTGATTGAACACTTTAACTCTTAATTGCAGCTTAAGTAAACACTTACTGAACAAGCAAAAGAATGATTTACTTTAAAAGAACTTAAAAATTGCACTAAGAGTGAATTTGTTCAATGAAATATAAAAATAATAGATGCAAAAACACAGAACAAAAAGGTTTGAACACTTACAGTGATGCAGAACACAACATATCAATATAAACACAATACTATAATTTTCTTGCAATGAAACTTGAGGTATGAAAATTTGGAAAATAATTGTCTTGCTTCAACAAAATAATGGCACTATTGTCTGTGGAAATAAGACAAATTAGACACTGGCAAAATGAAAAGAATTAACACAAGAATGTTCAACACACAGAGAAAAATTAAAATGGCAAATGAATGAAAACAAAAACAGCAGGAATACACAAATGCTGGGAGAAAAAAATAATAACAGACAACACTTAGTTATGATGCAGAATATAAGGTAATAAATTACTGAATTACTTCACTGCAATACTGTGAACACAAGATAATTGTAAAGTATAAACACAAGTTTATACTGCTTATATATTGCACACAACAAGGAAAACACTAAAGTACCTACTTCAAATATATATAAAAAAAAATGAACACAACACAACAGACATAAAATAAAGCATGAAAATTAACACTGAAGAGAGAGAAAAAAAAATATTGTTGCAAACAGTATATAATGAACACTGAGCAAGTCACTGAATGTCACTAAGAAATCAGTCAAGAAAATTGTCTCAACACTCGCAAACGTCTCTATAAAAAATTATTATTCATTAACACTGTAGCGACGTTGTAGAATGAGGTGGATGGCGGAGGGAGGTGGTGGAGTCTTGTGGCTGGCGGCGTTCGCTGACTACTCTGCACACGTGATCGAAGAATTTGTGCTTAAATCGATGATGAACTCACACAGGAGGCTTTTACGATGGCGCAAACTGACGAAGGAACACACTTGGCTCTTGACCCCCTATGTGGTCCTTAAAAATATGGTGCTAGAACCCGTAATAAGGGTACAAAAACAGTGGTAGTGGGTGAGGCAGCGCAGTGAGACACCGCGTGGTGACTGGGCTTATGGGATGAACGTGTAAGCCACAATGGGGACACCCGCACTAGGCATGAAGATATTCTAAGCCGGGCTGGCTTAAAAAACCCACAAAATACCACAACACCACAGGGATGATAAACACTCAGAATGGCTTGGAACTTGAAGCACAAAGCGATGAAGAAGACTATACCCATGTGGCTTGCTTGAGTACTGGGTTAGTCACTTGGGTTAGTTGCTGGCTGGCTTGGCTTAACCCTTCACACAGACTGGTGTGATAACTTGTAACGATAAGCACAGCAGGGGTGGAAAGCTGGCTTGGCTGGCAAGGCTGGATGGTGTAAGGCTGGCTGGACTGGGCTTGGGCTGACTCCCCCACCACAGACTGGCTTAGGTGGCTTGGCTTACTTTGCAAACCCGGGTCAACCCCTCAGAGGTAATGCAAATAGCAACATTAACACTAATACACAGAGACTGACCAGTGAATAGTGCAGAGGGCTGGTAGACGCTTGCTCGGGTAGCGGCTTGGCTGGCCTACTGGCCACACAAAATGTCCGTCGTCGGCTGAGAGAATTTATCTCCGTGCATCGGCGTAATTATCAATTTTACTCCCACACCGCTCACCAATTGTCGTGGAGGTTCGAAAGGAGATAAGATGGTTGAAGATAAACACACTTGTGGATGGTAACACTATATATTGTCAGACTGTGGTAAGGGAGCCCAACCTGCCGTGCGTTGCCTGGTAGACCTATGCGTGGACTGAGGAAGTTACAGAGGTACTCACGTACACATGCGCATCACGTGACGTCACACAAACAGTCACTAGGCCTAGTAAGGGATCGTATATATAAAACATATGGATGGTACTATGATACTCAGATAAGCTATACAACACATGTAAGAGGATCAGCAACTATGCTGACACCTATATGCCAGCACAGTGTGTAAGTTTATTTAGGTACAGTTATGCACAAGTATAATTATCAGAGTATATATCAAATATGAAATGACTATAAAACACTTGAAATTTTGGAAAGTTTTCAAACATAATGCAGAGTTATGCTCACATAGAATGTAAACACACTGGGTGGGGCACAGTGACCATGTTAGAAAGTCAAGTGGGCTGTATAGCAAGTTTTGGTGATAATTTGAAATGTCTGTATTAGCGGAACACCGTAAAGCGGGGCCCTGCTGTATTTTAAAGTTATTTTATGTTTTATATACTCTGGTAATTATACTTATGTGTACCTGTACCTAAATAAACTTGCACACTGTGCTGGTGTGCAGGCACACATTAAAATCACTGAGAGTGTCTTACTAGTCTTGATGCTATATTAATAATGATAATGATAATAATCAATACCAATCTGAGGTGCATTAAATGTCGTATATTACGTTAATATAAAATTTTCATTAATCCACCTATATTTTTTTCAAAATTATATAATAAATATGTTAGGTAACATATGAACATGATAGATACACCCAATAGTAGAATAAATTAAAATACATAAAAGATGTTATGTGTAGATGAACATGTATGAACCAAAACCAGATGCATTCATCTGCTTGTTTATGTTCTCCGTTTCTCTCTCCTCGCTCATTTACTCGTTCTCTCTCTCATTTATTTTAAGGTAAGCAGTGAGTGTACTGTATATGCATTTTATCACTCTGGGGTGCTTTAAATGTCATAGTATATTACGTGAGGGTGAGGTGGCCTGGCTGGCTACCATACCTCTTACACTTGACATCTTACAATAAAGACTACTCACCTCTCATCCTACATTAAGACTACAAATATTTTAAGGTAAGTAATGAGTGTACCTTTTGTGTATTTTACTTTTTATTGTTTTTTAATGCCTAGTTCTATTGCTAATTTAAAATATGTTAATGTAAGCTTCTTCTGTTGGAGTGTGAGCAGGGTAATATTTAGTGAAGGGATTCAGGGAAACCGGTTATTTTCATATAGTCGGACTTGAGTCCTGGAAATGGGAAGTACAATGCCTGCACTTTAAAGGAGGGGTTTGGGATATTGGCAGTTTGGAGGGATATGTTGTGTATCTTTATATGTGTATGCTTCTAGACTGTTGTATTCTGAGCACCTCTGCAAAAACAGTGATAATGTGCGAGTGTGGTGAAAGTGTTGAATGATGATGAAAGTATTTTCTTTTTGGGGATTTTCTTTCTTTTTTGGGTCACCCTGCCTCGGTGGGAGACGGCCGACTTGTTGAAAAAAAAAAAAAATATATATATATATATATATATATTTTTTTTTTTTTTCAACAAGTCGGCCGTCTCCCACCGAGGCAGGGTGACCCAAAAAAGAAAGAAAATCCCCAAAAAGAAAATACTTTCATCATCATTCAACACTTTCACCACACTCGCACATTATCACTGTTTTTGCAGAGGTGCTCAGAATACAACAGTCTAGAAGCATACACATATAAAGATACACAACATATCCCTCCAAACTGCTAATATCCTGAACCCCTCCTGTATATATATATATATATATATATATTGTGTATATTTTTTTTTTAACAAGTCGGCCGTCTCCCACCGAGGCAGAGTGACCCAAAAAGAAAGAAAATCCCCAAAAAGAAAATACTTTCATCATCATTCAACACTTTCACCTCACTCACACATAATCACTGTTTTTGCAGAGGTGCTCAGAACACAACAGTTAAGAAGCATATACGTATAAAGATACACAACATATCCCTCCAAACTGTTATTATCCTGAACCCCTCCTGTAGAGTGCAGGCATTGTACTTCCCATTTCCAGGACTCAAGTCCAGCTATACAAAAATAACCAGTTTCCCTGAATCCCTTGACTAAATATTACACAAATAACCCGCACATAGAAGAGAGGAGCTTACGACGACGTGGAAAAGATGGCATTTTGCTTTCCAGTGATGTCCACTTTCCAGCAGTAGCCTGGAACCTAACCTGCCATATAAGTGGGGCCCTACTGTATCAAGGGAGGGAGGGTGACCCCCCCCCCAAAAAAAAAGGAAATGCATTTGCTGTCATTCATTCATTTGGTCTCTTGCCAGAAACATTGTAATTTCACAGTTTAGATAATCCTGTGAATTGCACTATCCCCACCCCTCCTTCAGAGTGCAGGAAAAATTGTTAGTTGGACTAAGTCCTGAAAGTGAGAAGGGTAATGCCTGCACTTTGAAGCAAAGGTGGGAATATTACATGTAGTCAGAAATTATTCAATATTTTGAAATCAACACACTTCTGCAGAGACAGTATTTGCACGAATAATGGTGAATGTGTTTTCTTCTTTGGGTCACCCTTGCTTTGGTAGGAAATAGTTATTGAAAAATATGCATATGAATATGCCATATTTATATATATTTGACAGATATGTATGAATTTAAGATGCTGGCCATCTCCCACCGATGCAGGGTGACCTGAGAAAGATGAAACGTTTCAATTTAGTTTCTTCATTTTACATTTAATAAGTTGTACAGAAGGGTAAATGAGAACAAGAACTATTAAGAAAAAAATCAAAGAAAACTCAGACAAGTGTGTATACATAAATGTGTACATTTATGTTTAGTGTTACCTAATTGTAAGTAAAAGTAGCAAGATATACTGGTAATCTTGCTTGTTTATGAGACAGAAAAAAAGACACCAGTACTCCTACCATCATGTAAAACAAATACAGGTTTCTGTCTTAAACTCATTTGGCAGTACAGTAGTACCTCCTAGGGTGGTTACTGTCTACCAACCTGTTTATTTATTTTTATTCATTGCTTTATATGTGTAAATTTGTTCCTACATATATCTGCATTTATCAATCTTTCATTAAGATATTCCCATTACTTCAGCCACAAGAGGACAATATGAATGCGTGGAAGCTGGATAATTTCATCACACAGAGGAAGACCAATTCACCTATATCGCAGGTGGTATGTTTCTAACCGTTTATTATTACATATGTATTTCATTCAGCGGTATTCACTGTAGATTTATCTCCATGTACATGTATTAAATATTAGTGTGCTTCATGTATTTTGCTGTTGATGATAACTTATATCATTATTTGAGCCTAATTCATTAAACAAAACTCTTATATTTATTGCTTCAAAGAATCAAAACTAATATTATTTAATCTTGTTATAAAACTTTTCTAGTTTGATAGTAGTTAAAAGCTTTTAACTGAATATTATTGTGCAGCATTAAAATGGGCTCCTGGAAGTTATTAAAAAGAAAAAAAGGAAATGCACTATTTTGCTGATTGTATCTGAGGACTTTTATGATGTACAAATGCTTTATTTTTATACACTTTGTTTACTAAGTTGACTTGTTGATTCTTCCTTTTTCATTGGCCATATATTTTTTTGTTTGTGGTATATAAATCTCACTCATGTTGCATTCTGATTTTCCTTTAACTTGAGAGCTAACTATTCTGATATATTTGAGCTCACTTTTTTCCATTCTGCATTCCACTATGTTATTGTAAATCTTCACTGGTCTCTCATTCATCATAAACTTTGTTATGTCCATTAAGCTTACTGTTGTACATCTCATATATCTGGAAGAGATGACTACCCATTTCAGTGCAAATGTGCTAAAATGTATTAAAGATAACTAGATGCCGATTCTTATAATGTACACATTTATAAAAGCATATTAGTGAAACTTATAAAGTATTTCAGACACTTTGCTGTACTAAATTTCATAAATTTCTGGCCAATTTAAAGGGCAGCAATACATACATGGAAACTAAACATGCTGTGGGGGGGGGGCAGAAAATTTTCTTATAAGAGTAACTCTTCCACTGTCCAGACCCCTCAAAATTATGTGTTCACAGTATCCATATTTCAAAAAAATTCTTTTGGAATGGGAGAGAATCTTTCTCAGAACTTAATGACACCAAAAGGTGAAATTTGATGGAAAACTAATAGAATTATACAAGCACGAAGTTGGCAGTCTGGGTGCAATTTATGCATCAGTGATTTTGCACAGTTTAGTCCTCTTTTAAGTCAATTCCATTACATGATTTGACCAAATTCTTAGCTATTCTGGTAGTGTACTTTCTATTTTTTCATATGAACACAAGAAACCACTTATTCAAATATCAGAACTACTCTATAGTACACAAAAGTCAGAAATTTAGTATATTTTACATGAAATTAAAAAGATTCCAATTTAAAAACAGTCCAAAATAAACGCTGTAGTCATTCCAGGCACTAAAACGACGTTATCTCTGTTCATTAATCACATCCCCAGGCATCTCTTACATTACACTTACCAAAAATTAAAAGATTTATGCTATTTCTTAGATAAAATATAACCAGGAGTGAATGGTCAAGGTTTATGGCATCCTATTAATAGAATCGGACCTAATGAAAACCTTAGAAAAAACATGCCTTACCTGGCCTTGAGAACTGTCCTTGCCCATCTTCAGGGAAATTGACAAAATTGAATATTTCCGCACTTTGAGGCAGTTTTCTCTCTCTCTCTCATCTCTCTCTACTCTCTCTCTCTCTCTCTCATCTCCTCCCTCTCTCTCTCTACCTCTTCTCTCTACCTCTCTCTCCTCTCTCTCTTCTACCTCTCTCTCTCCTCTCTCTCTCCTCTCTCTCTCTCTACCTCTCTCTCTCTCTACCTCTCTCTCTCTCTACCTCTCTCTCTCTCTACCTCTCTCTCTCTCTACCTCTCTCTCTCTCTACCTCTCTTTTCTCTACCTCTCTCTCTCTACCTCTCTCTCTCTCTTACCTCTCTCTCTCTCCTTTCTCTCTCTACTCTCCTCTCTCTCTCCTCTCTCTCTACCTCTCTCTCCCCCTCTCTACCTCTCTATCTCCTCTCTCTACCTCTCTCTCCTCCTCTCTCCCTACCTCTCTCTCTCTCTCTCTCTCTCTCTCCTCTCTCTCTCTCTCTCTCTCTCTCTCTCTCTCTCTCTCTCTCTCTCCTTCTCTCTCTCCTCTCTTCTTCTACCTCTCTCTCTTCTCTCCTACCTCTCTCTCTCTCTCTACCTCTCTCTCTCTCTACCTCTCTCTCTCTCTAACCTCTCTCTCTCTCTACCTCTCTCTCTACCTCTCTCTCTCTCTACCTCTCCTACTCTCTCTCTACCTCTCTCTCTCTCTACTCTCTCTCTACCTCTCTCCTCCCCTACCTCTCTCTCTCTCTTTACTCTCTCTCTCTCTATCTCTCTCTCCTCTCTACCTCTCTCTCTCTCTACCTCTCTCTCTCTCTACCTCTCTCTCTCTCTACCTCCTCTCCTCTCTCTCTCTCCTCTCACTCTCTCTATATATATATATATATAAATATATATATATATATATTATATATATATAATATATCTATCTCTATCTATCTACCTCTTCTCTCTCTCTACCCTCTCTCTCTCTCTCTTTCTCTACCTCCCCTCTCTTTTCTCTCTCTCTACCTCTCTCTCTCTCTACCTCACACACACACACACCACACACACACACACACCAAAACCAACCAGAGTTAAAGCTAATTATAATAAATGTGAAAAATGTTCTTAAAATATTGATGTACATTTTTTATTTCATGAAGAGCTCCTGCTGGTGGGCCTGTACCTGGTACTCGGGCTGAGAGTAACCCGCCCAGTGATGCTACACCATCTGCTCCACCACCCAGAGAAAAGCGAGACCGTCGTGTCAGCAAGCCGCCAACAGCGTTTAATTCTTCTGGCCGCGGAACAAGGGCTGCTCTGGATTTGAGAGGGCGAGGCAAACCTGAAAAGCCTGGTCACTATGATGACTCCTCAGATGATGGGGAGCCTCACCCGCGGCCGATTCCTCGTGTGTCTGCTGAACTGCGGCAGACTCCAAAGCATAGCAGGGACCATGATTCCAGGGCCAGGTCATCAAAGACAAAAGCATCCAATAGTCGTCTGATAGGTTCAGACAGTGACTTGGATTCTGAGTCTCCCGGTTCCCGGAAACCTGGATCATCCCAGCCTTCTAATGGTTCTATTAGTGTGGGTAAAGGAATACCAAAAGTGTCAGAGAAGACTACTAAAACGAGTGTTTCTCAAGGCTCCCGGGAGTCTGTTAAAAAAACATCAAGGGAGAAATTGGACTCCTCTAAGAAAGATAGTCATATAGGTGCCAAATCAGAGACTGGAAAATCAAAACGTGAAAAGAAATCAATGGAGTTTCTGCCGTCTGACATAGATTCTGATTCTGATAGTGACAGCATTATTGATGTAGTAAATACTTCACCTGATAAGCTGCAATCCAGGGTTACACTATCTTCTCAGTGCACGCCTTCAAGAACACCTAAGGAATCTTTGAAAGTTGTTCCTAGTCCTGTGAAATCAGTCCAGGCAAGTCCCCATGTATCTCCAATGAGTTGTGCTAGTGTTTCTAATAAAAGCAGTGTGAAAAGGTCTAGTGGTGGACTTAGTGAAGCCATAAGTTCAGAATCATTAACAAGTAAAAGTGAGGATGAAACGCACTCTCCTTGTCGAGGCCAAAGTAGTTCTCAAAAGGTAGACATTGCCAGGGACAAGGGGGCACTAGTAAACCGGGCATTTAGCACATTGGTTAAAAAAGATAAGGAGGGAAGGGAAAGGGACCAAGTGGAAAAGAATAAGAAAGCAAAAAATGTTAGTGATACGAGAAAAGTTAGTGGTAATAAAGACATAAGTGAAAAAAGTGAGAGAGATAGAAGTAGAGGCATAAGTGAATCAAGTTCTATAGAAAGCAAATTAGAAACGAGGCCAGGTGCCTCTCCTATAGTGAATAAGTTATGTAAGTCTCCCATAGTTAGTGCAGAACCAAAAGTGCCCATACCCCAGGTACAATATGAAAATGGTGTTCCAAAACTCACATGTACAATCCCCCTTAGCTTTATTGACAAAGTGCCCAAATCTTGTGTAAATGGTGCATCCTTTGTAAGTAAAACTGATATCAAGGAAGAAGTTGATAAAAAGAAAGTCCTTGATAATAGAACTAAAGAAGGTAAAGGCAAAAGAAAAACATGTGATCCTAATACTAAAGCACCTGAAGATGTGTCAAAACGAAAAATAATTACGTCCATATTTGGTGGTGTTAAAAGACAAGATCATGAAAGTGATGAAGACAAAGTTAAGAAGGAAGTGAAAAAAGAAACTGTTGACAGTGATGATGAATATGAAAGAAATGAAGTTAAGTCATCTATCAGTGTTAAAGAGTGAGTAGGACTTGATTTCTCTCTTTATTTACCTTTATTATTGTTGAGTAGTCAATCTTTCAGAATCTGTCATTGGGAAATACTAGTATTCTACATTTATATGTATTCATATTTTCATTATTCAGCCACTAGAAAAATTAGGGTGTAAACATATATAATACTGTGTGTGTGTGTGTGTGTGTGTGTGTGTGTGTGTGTGTGTGTGTGTGTGTGTGTGTGTGTGTATGTATGATTGATTATTGTTAGTATTTTTTTTTTTTTTTAACAAGTCGGCCGTCTCCCACCAAGGCAGGGTGACCCAAAAAAGAAAGAAAATCCCCAAAAAGAAAATACTTTAATCATCATTCAACACTTTCACCTCACACATAATCACTGTTTTTGCAGAGGTGTTCAGAATTCAACAGTTTAGAAGCATATACGTATAAAGATACACAACATATCCCTCCAAACTGCCAATATCCCAAACCCCTCCTTTAAAGTGCAGGCATTGTACTTCCCATTTCCAGGACTCAAGTCCGACTATATGAAAATAACCAGTTTCCCTGAATCCCTTCACTAAATATTACCCTGTTCACACTCCAACAGATCGTCAGGTCCCAAATACCATTCGTCTCCATTCACTCCTATCGAACATGCTCATGCATGCCTGCTGGAAGTCCAAGCCTCTCGCCCACAAAACCTCCCTTACCCCTTCCAACGTTTTCGAGGACGACCTGTACCCCGCCTTCCTTCCCCTACAGATTTATACGCTCTCCACGTCATTCTACTTTGATCCATTCTCTCTAAATGACCAAACCACCTCAACAACCTCTCTTCTGCCCTCTGACTAATACTTTTATTAACATAAGAACATAAGAACGAAGGAACACTGCAACAGGCCTACTGGCCCATGCGAGGCAGGTCCAAGTCTCCTACCGGCTTAAGCCAATGCACCCAACCTAGTCAGGTCAGGTCACATTGACTTAAGGGAGGAACACGGCAACCGACCTGGTAGCACAAGCTATCAGGTCCAACTCACATCCACTCATGTATTTATCCAACCTATTTTTAAAGCTACACAAGGTTCTGGCCTCTATAACTGTACTTGGGAGTTTGTTCCACTCATCCACAACTCTATTACCAAACCAGTACTTTCCTATATCCTTCCTGAATCTGAATTTTTCCAACTTAAAACCATTGCTGCGAGTCCTGTCTAGGCTAGATATTTTAAGCACACTATTTACATCCCCTTTATTTATTCGTGTCTTCCATTTATACACCTCAATCATATCCCCCCTAATTCTACGTCTTTCTAGAGAGTACAGATTCAGGGCCCTTAGTCTATCCTCATAGGGAAGGTTTCTGATACATGGGATCAACTTGGTCATCCTCCTTTGTACATTTTCCAGAGCATTTATATCCATTCTGTAATACGGTGACCAAAACTGTGCAGCATAATCTAAATGAGGCCTAACCAAGGATGTATGGACTCCTATTATTTATGCTTCTTGATATGAAGCCAAGGATTCTATTAGCTTTATTGCGAACACTTATGCACTGTTGTCTTGGTTTCAGATTACTGCTAACCAGAACTCCTAAATCTTTTTCGCAATCCGTAATATTAAGATCTACATTATTTAGTTTATATGTGGCATGGTTATTGACCTGTCCAACATTTAGAACTTTGCATTTGTCTATATTAAACTGCATCTGCCACTTCTCCGACCACTGCATCAGTCTATTCAAATGTTCCTGGAGTGCTCTAATGTCCTCGTCAGAATGAACTCGACGGCCTATTTTGGTGTCATCGACAAACTTGCTGATGTCGCTCTTTATGCCCTCATCTATGTCGTTTATGTAGATTGTGAACAGCAGGGGGCCCAACACTGACCCCTGTGGAACACCGCTCGTGACGCTTCCCCACTCTGATTTCTCCCCATTTATGCAAACTCTCTGCTGCCTATTTGTCAACCATGCCTCTATCCAGGAAAAAATTTCTCCTCCTATTCCATGTGCCTTAATTTTCCTCAATAGTCTCTGATGTGGGACCCTGTCAAAAGCCTTACTGAAGTCCATATACACAATATCATATTCATTACCATGATCTACCTCCTCAAATACCTTAGTGAAAAAAGTTATTAAATTCGTAAGGCAGGAATGCCCCTTTGTAAAACCATGCTGAGATTCGTTGATTAATTTATGCTTTTCAAGGTGGCTACGAACTGCCTCGGCAATTATTGACTCCATAAATTTTCCCACTATGGAGGTTAGGCTTATTGGTCTATAGTTCGAAGCTAAGGACCTGTCACCTGCTTTGAAAATAGGTATCACATTTGCTATTTTCCACTTATCTGGCACCATGCCAGTTTGTAGTGATATGTTGAAAAGATTAGCCAAAGGTTTGCTAAGCTCCTCTTCACATTCCTTTAGAACCCTTGCATACAGTTCATCAGGGCCTGGGGATTTGTTAGGTTTTAATTTATCTATTTTCCTAAGGACCATGTCACTTGTGACCCTAATCGTGCACAGTTTATTATCGTCCTGTTGTACATAATTTATCATTTCTGGAATATCGCTGGTATCCTCCTGTGTAAAAACTGAGAGGAAGTATGTGTTAAAAATTCTACACATTTCCTTATCACTGTCAGTGAGCTGACCTGAGGAACTTTTGAGTGGCCTATCTTGTCCTGATCTTACTTCTGTATACCTGAAAGAATCCTTTTGGGTTAGTCTTCGATTCTCTTGCAACTTTAACCTCATAATCTCTTTTTGCTTTTCTAATTCCCTTTTTTTATTTCTCTCTTTAACTGAATATATTGATTTCTTAATTGCCCCTCTCCTCTTTTGATTGGCCTGGTGGCTAAAAGCTCCCGCTTCACACACGGAGGGCCCGGGTTCGATTCCCGGCGGGTGGAAACATTTCGACACGTTTCCTTACACCTGTTGTCCTGTTCACCTAGCAGCAAATAGGTACCTGGGTGTTAGTCGACTGGTGTGGGTCGCATCCTGGGGGACAAGATTGAGGACCCCAATGGAAATAAGTTAGACAGTCCTCGATGACGCACTGACTTTCTTGGGTTATCCTGGGTGGCTAACCCTCCGGGGTTAAAAATCCGAACGAAATCTCTCTCTTTTGTCCAATCAGATATTTTAATCTATTGTTCATCCATTTAGGATCATTTTTGTTTGATCTGATTTCCCTATTTGGAACATAATTTGACTGAGCAGCTAGAACTATGCCCTGGAAAGCGTCATATCGGCAACCATCACCACCTACCTAACCCTTAGTCAGGTCATTCCAGTTCAGCCCACCTAAGTAATTTTTCAGTCCTATGAAATCAGCCAAGCGAAAGTCAGGGATGGAGACTTGATTGCCATTATTAGGGGAATTCCATGATATATTAAAACTGAGTGATTTGTGATCACTTTCCCCAAGCTCATCATTAACCTCAAGATTATTAATTAGTGTTTCCCTACTGGCAAGAAGCAGGTCAAGGAGGTTATTTCCCCTAGTTGGCTCTGTCACAAACTGTTTTAAAAAACAATCCTGGATTGTATCAAGAAAGTCACCTGACTCTAAATTTCTTGTCAAATTGCTCCAGTCAATCTCTATGGTTGAAATCTCCCATTAGCACAACATTTTCGTATGTAGATGCCTTACGAATTTTGTCCCATAGAAGTTTACTGCACTCCCTATCAAGATTTGGGGCCCTGTAAATCACACCCAAAATTAGTTTTTCTCGGCCATCGAGAAGCTGTAACCAACAGATTCAGTGGCCGACGCTTCTAATTTTATATCTTGTCTAACACAACAATTTAAATTGTCTTGACAACATCGCTCTCCACCACCCTTCCTGTTGACCCTGTCAGGGGTGGAATAATTTATAGCCTTGTATGTGACATTCAGAGGGCATCTCTCTATCTTTCAGATTGAGCCAGGTCTCTGTTATAGCAATATTATCTATGTTTCCTGCACTTGCAATTAATCTTAGTCATCTATCTTATTTCTTACACTCCTGCATTAGTATAGTAAACCCTTAAGGGAGCTAGTCCCTTGCTGCCTTCTGCTGTCCCCCTTTTTTTTGCTGACCTGATCTATTGCCTTTATTTATAACTTCATGCTGATGCCTTTTATACATTTACTGTTTCCAACCCTAGTATTGCAACCTGCTTGTTTCCCACACACCCCCATACCTCTATCTTCTATCAGTTTAAAATCTAGGCATTTCACCAATGACCTTCTAAATTGAGTTTGCAAGTGCTACTACCCCAGCCCCAGAGAGATGTACCCCATCCCTTGCATACATATCATGTTTGCCATAAAAGTTGTTCCAGTGTCAATGAATGGGATTGCAAGTTCCTTGCAGTATCTGTCTAGCCAGAAATTTACACCAATTGCCCTAGACAACCATTTATTTCCTACTCCCCTTCTAGGCAATATGCTCATATGATTGGACCCCTCCCTTAGACTTAAAGAAATCTATAGCTGACCTGTACTTATCCCAGCAGCTCTTCTCTCCTACCCTTTCCCCAAAATCATTTCCACCAGCACTGAGACAGATAATGGGCTTGTTTCCATACCTGACATGATATTATCCAGCCTGTTAACTATGTCCCCAACACCAGCTCCAGGGGAAACACACTCTATCTTCATCTTTTATTCCTATTACAAAAAGCACGGTCAATATATCTTACCTGAGAGTCACCAACCACAAGAATGCACTTACCCCCTGTTAGCAGGGGGAGTAGTACCCTTACTTTCACTGGCTACTGAAGTACATTCATTCCCGAAGAACAGAGAAGCGATTTCCTACCTTCAGATCTTCACTCTTAGCTTTCCTTATTCTGTTCTCCTCCCATTACTGGTTACCACTCGCCACTTGTAGCAGGTGCTGGACTGCACCTCACTGCTGGTAGCCGTTGCTACCTCCCCACCTACAGCCTCCTCACAGCGAGAGACAGACTGCACCTCACTGCTAGAAGCCTCATTCCCCACAACTCCATCCACCTCACACTCTCTCCCAGACCCATTGAGGTGGACCTTCAGCCTCCTAAT